CAACAGCATGAGATAAAGTATCTGCTATATTAGGATGATGATAGAAAATGTGTAGACGTTTTCCACATTATTTAAAAAACCTAATTACTCTTAAATGCGCCAGTCTTTGCAGTTGAAGCTACAGTGCATGCCAATTATATAGGTTTATTTCAGTTTGTCAAAAAAAAAAAGAAGTAACACAAAAACTTGTGACTCTGATGAGAACACGTGCTTTCTCAAAAGGAAGTAGATTATATTCATGACTTCAAATACGGAAGATTGGAGATATGTCTTTAACTCTTTGAGTCCCGGCGGGTTAAGCATCACAGGCCCAAGGGGTAGTCAAGAGAGGCAAAAAATCGGCGCATCTTGCGTTCATTGGGCTTCTAGGTAGGAATCTATGAATGTATGATGCATTCCTTGGGACTCAAAGAGTTAAACGTTAGACATGGAAGATAGATGAATTTACTTAAAAGTTTAAAAAAAAAACAAATTAGTGAACTTAATTGATTTTTTCTGTGCAACTTCCCATATATAAACATTGGTTAGTTACAAAATAGCAGCATTTTCTGATGATTTTTTATTACAGATGGTAGACAGCTGTTATATTTTAAGCTATTCTATAACAACTGTTAGTTTAGTTCCTTCTGTTTGAGAATGTTTTTTCAGTTAGATTGTAACTTTGGTTATTTTAGACTAGAACATATCAAGATAGAATTATGAAATTAATTACTGATTGATACTTTAACAGTATCTGCATCTACTTTTGTGTTTGTCTGAAGATGTACATGTGATGTGTCTATATACAACATGGCTGCTATATTTGCACCTTACATATTCAACTTCATCAGGAATTTGTTGCTTATTTTAGCCTTCCCGGTTACTTAAATAGTTTAACAAACATTAAAGATTTGTCATTCACCATTAACATATACATGGAAGATGTTTTTTTTTTTCTCTTCAAAATTAAAGCATTAAAGGTAGTCATCTTCTGAGATTCCACAATTTGCAGTTCTTGTCAATTGATTTGTTGCCTGCCTATGTTAACATACAATTTAGCCAAGATCACAGCATTCATGTCTATACACAAAAATAAAATTTACAATGGATAAATTGTCTCCCTTTTACTTGAGAGAGCATATTTTAAAACACAACTGCATCTTTGATTCCAGCATCTGAATATGGTTATGTTACATTATGGTTACAAAAATACAAGGATATGTACACAGATCATATTATATATACGCTCAATACAACACATAAAAAAGGTCTGTAGCTTGCATCATCATTGACATACCACATAAGGATGAGTTTTCTTGCATCATGTTACCAGTTGATACACAACATATAAGGAGGTATGTGTATCATACATCATCATCAGTGATACAACATAAAATGGGTTCTCTTGCATCCTGGTATTACTTGGTAATAACAAAAGATAAGAAAGTATATGTATCACTATCACCATTATCACAACATAAAATATGAGTTTTCTTGTACTTTGCATTGGTGATCCTCATGTCGGTTCCAGGGTCCCATTTGGGGGTGGGGGGAGGAATAGATCCACTTTTCCCCAACAAGCATGTTGCAGGTGGCGATTAGTTAGGCCAGTTTTCTTCAAAGTTAGAATACATCTGCCTGAGAAGAGAGGAACCAACAGTCTGCATACAATTAAGCCAGATCTGTCAAATGGGGGTGAATGCAAAAGTCATGTTCTGGGGAATAATACTTAAGTCCAGAAGTGACGAACAACTAGAACTTCCTGCCAGTGCTGGTGAAGAAGAAAAATAAGAAGAAGCATTAGTACTGTCAGTGTTATGGCATGACTGAGTGATTCATGTCACCTTAATTATGTGATTCCCATTATTTCAGTTCAGTTTTCTCAATGATGAGGACACGAGCAATGGTTCAAACATTACTGTCTGGCAAATTTGGCTGTATCTTGTCAAGGGTGGGGTCTTCATGGTCAAGCCCATTTATCTCATGATCTGAAGATTGTGGGTTCATTTCACGGATGTAAGAACGATTCAGTTTATAAGCACAATTTGTTCCGAGATGCCAAGGGATTGTCGTGGAGCTACAGAGTTCGTGCTTTGTGTGATGCTCTTGACAGTTGGCCAGTGGCTCTGCAGAGAGAGAACCAGTCATATGCGATAACCCAAGGCAAGTAAGCTGATCCTCTGGCTTTAACTTCTGAGAATATTACGAAGCCAAAAATTAATCCTGTCAAAAGCAGTGGAAGCCTCTGTAGCTAAGAAGTTACATTTCCAGTTTCATTTTATGTACCCAGTATATTAACTCTTTGAGTCCCAGAGGGTATAGCATCACAGGCCCAAGGAGTAGTCAAGAAAGACGTAAAATCGCAGCATCTTGCGTTCATTGGGCTTCTAGGTAGGAATCTATGAATGTATGACGCGTTCCTTGGGACAAAAGAGTTAAGGTTCAAAGTCAATTAATGTAAAAGCCCCTGGGTTAATCTGGGTAAAGATTTCACACCACAGCATTCAAGAAAAGCCCATCTTAGCTCTGTTTCCCTCTTCAACAGACATGGAACAGTCTCCATACTGGTGGTACCTGGTGTCATCTGGTTAACTACTTGTCTTTCCTTGAGTTTGAGATGGCACCCAGAGCCTGTAGACACTCCTGAGATCTCCACCCACCAGAATGCCACAGTTACCCCATCAACTTCCTGTCTCATGCTGGATGTGGTAATGTCTGTTATCAATGCCCTTGCCAGAATCATTATACACCGTGCTAATTGAAGTCTTTTGACTTGATTTGTTCACAGAACATCAAAGAATCAAATGGTTTGATCATCTTGTCTGAATGGAATGAAAGCAGCCAGCTGTTAGAGCGCACTACATAAGAAAAGAGGTTGACCAAGAAAGAGATGGGTGAAGGAAGTGATAAACATTATAGAAATGCAATATGACATTAGCACAAGCTATGCAACTAGCAAAAGACAGGAAACTACATGCAATTCCTATCTGTGAAGCTTTGAGGCATAAACAGTAGGACAAAAGAAGAACAAGTTGTAGTAAGGGCCCATGTGTTAGTTAGTTAGTAAGTTAAGTGAAGAACTGACATCACAACACTCGGCGCATTCCCATGTGTGCTCCCTCCTCATCTTCAGCAACCAGCCTAGAGTTCCAATACTGATGGTACCGGTCACAATCTGGTTATAGGTCCATCTCGCCTTTCCTCCGAGTGTAGCGAGTCAGCCAAACCCTCTGGTTACACTCAGGTGCCTCATTCTCTTCAGGAATAATAATCCTCAAGCCCATATGTGACACTGGTAACATAGTATTAGGCAAAAAAAAAGTTCTTATTTTGTGTCGCTACTGCATTTACATCATCAAACACTACTGCAGATAACATACATTTTCTGCACTATGCATCACCTTGTACATAATCTACGGGACAGGACAATGGTTTTTATCATTTTATCAAATCATATACACTAGTGAAGATGTCACCATAAAGTGCACAACACATGATTTTACTGTACAAAGAATTATCTAAAATACATAACATATGATTTCGCATCATATAAGTTATTATGCATTGTAAATCATCTTAGAAATAACAATGTCAGTTTCCCTAACTGTTTATCACTGCCGATAAAAAATGTACATTGATTCAAAACAGATGTAAAAGATGCATGCTGAATCATATCAGAGACCATTCTGAGTTCAGCATCACGTACCATCAGGAGATGCAATGCACAGATGAGTTTTTTTCCACCTTTCCTGCCTCAACACCACAATACAAATTGAATTCTGCAAATTCTGTTATAATCGGAGAGTACACAAATATGAAATTCTTTTGTATCATGTATATTTATTAAATATAAAACAAGAGTTTTATCACACTCATGACAACTAATAAGTTGAGTTTTCTATATCTTCCAGCTCAGTCGACAGCAGTGTACAAAAAAAGTTTTCTCTGCATGTATTCCAACTCTGAATACAGAATAAAAGCAAGAGAGAGCTTTAGCATGCTAGTCACATCATTCATGTTGAATTTTTGTTATCTTCTATGTTAATAGACAGCACTGTATGGGGTTTTCTGAGTGTATTTCCACCTTAAATTCCACATATTAATAAAACAAGTGTTTTCTCATGTCTATCACAACATACAAATTGAATTTTTCATATCCTGCATCTCATAAGACAGCAATGTATTGGGATAATCTTCTCTGCAGCAATTATCACACTGGATTCAACAAATTCTCAGTAAACAGCAACAATTGGGATAATCTTCTCTGCACCTATTATCAGTTCTGATTCAACAAACAACAAGAGTTGTATTATGCCCATCACAAAATATATGTTGAAATGTCTGTATCTTCATCTCATTCGATAGCAACATGTAAGGTCATCTTCTCTGCCCTTATTTTTAGGTCAGATAAAATATAAAATGAGTCTTTATAGACAGAATCTTTGAAACAATAAGTTTTCTGCATTAAACTTCATGACAGACACATCCTATACGGCACATTTTTGTTATTCTTCATCACATGAAATAAGTCTTCACAGCTTTGGGCATAAAATTGAGTTTTCTACGTATTGTACATAACTGCAGAATATCTCTGTGTTAACACGTCATATGGAATCCATCTCTCATATTTTAAATCTTCTTATTTTAAGATTTACTGAAGTGTTTTTTGTTGTTGTTGCTGTTGCTAAAAACATCCCCTTGGACTCAAATAGAATGTTTTTCCTTGCACACACAGCATGAGTCTCTCTTGCACCACTGATAAATTTAAACACCACATGTGAACTCTTGTATGCTTAAACAACACATTAGAGTCTTTCACAGTCATCACTGTTTGAAAAATAAAAGATTCCATAATTTTCTGAATCAAACAATGGGCTAGCTCTTCTGTGTATGGAGGTAATATGATTTTTGAAGGAAGTATCCAGATAATTCTGTACTTGCACAACCAAGTTCAGTGCCAGATATCACTTCTAGGACGTGACATTTTTCTAAATTTGTTCCTGTGTGTGTTTGATCAGCAGTCATGAGGAAGATGAAGTGTCAAGTTCAACCGAATGCTTCGATGTGAGTCTTGTTGTACTGCCTCTTCTAAGAGCCAAGGAATTGGCTTTCGTCAACATTAGACTGTGTCCTGACAGTTTGTCATCACCACTGCTGCTAGTGCTGCTGAAACTGCCACTGCTTGGACCTGGCTTGCTTGTATGCAGTAATCCATTCTTATCTCCATCGCTGCTCTCAACAATGGAATCTTTTTTGGATTTTTCCTCCTCTAATGCTTTTTGCATGTCTGTGTAATAGGCAAGAGCATCCCGTACAGGCTCAATAATAGCTGACTGTGAAAAATAAAAATAAAAAGGTATAAGCAACAAAAAATAGCTGAAAGTAATTTCATGACTGGAAGGCTTAGGAAAACCAATAATCCTCCATGAAACATTATAAGACATGACATAGCTGAATTTATAGTGCTGTGACATGTTAAAAAAAAAAAAGAAATGTCCGAAGCAAACTGATGAGTTGTACCTACAGACAGTAGTGATAGCAAATGAAGAAGTTTTACAGAAGTTGAGTGTAGAGTAGCTCAAAAAGAAGCAGCCTTACCTGGAATGAATAATACTCTTTACAATCAATGTTTTTCAACTGAGGTGAAAAAGAGTTCTAATAGCCCTCCGTGTGGGTTCCGGGGCCCGATTGTGGGGAAAACAAGAATAGACCCACTGCCTCCCCAAAAGCATGTATTAAGAGTCGACTAATTGGGAAGCTTACTTTGAAGTCGGAGTACATCTGCCGGAGAGGCAAGGAACCAACAGTCTGTATTCAAGAGAATGAGATCTGTAAAACTGATGCACACGCAACACTCAGGTTCTGGAGCAGGACTGCAGTTCAGTAGTGAACGAGCAACAAGAACTTTCCGCCAGAGTGTACAGCTGGTGAACGTGAAGAAGAAGAAGAAGTTCTAAGAGCTACATTTTTAAGAGCAATATAGAGCTAATCCTGATGTACAGAAGTAAATCATGGACAGCCAGCCAGTGATCAATTATGTGTAAGTGGTGGAAAAGTAGTTTTATAGATGAATGATGAGAATCTTTATTTAGAAAGTAATTCTGATAGTCAAGGAAATACAAAGACAGAAATCATGACACGCACCAGCTAGGCATCAGCAGCTTTTAAAAAGTAAGTAAGTAAAGGACCCTTTTCACCGCTTTTAGGCATATATGGCATATAGGGCTAGACCTATATTTTTATAGACCAATTGGCACAATATGGGTGATGTGGTCAGCATCACGCCCGCCACCTTTACTTCCCGAGACTATACCCGGTACCCACTCAAGGCTGGGTCAGCCTGGGAGTCAAGGTCATTTTTAAAAAGTCTGGCTCCAGCTTTTAAAACCCTAAACATAATATCAAAGTCTAAACCGAGTAGTTTTGAAACTGAGTTATGCATTTTCAATTCTAGTTTTAATTAGGTTTTAACATATGCTAGTTAAACTAGGAGAAACACTGAAGACATGCAATGAAAGTTAAATGCATTTGAAAGCAAATGTCTGTGGATGTTGAATTCAAGAGAGGTGAAACAATTCAAGAAATGTCAGAGCAACCACTGGTATCAACAGTATTAAGACAAAGAAGATCGGACTATATTGGAAACATCCTGAGAATAAACAATCACAAAATCACCAAACAGGCACTAAAATGGAAAATTAAGGTATTAAGAAAGGGAGGACGCCCAAAAGAAACCCTAAAACGAACACTGATGAGAGAGGCCAAATATGCCTGAACTGGATTCCAAACATGATATCAAAGGGACAGCACACGACAGAATGGAATGGAGGAATAGACTGCAAGCGGTATGAGAAACACAATGGCACAACAGGATAATAATGATGATGAGAAACATGCTGCTGCAGCTTCTCTTCCACCATTTACCTCAGCAAAGTATGGGGGGGGGGGGGGGGGGGAGAGATGTAAAGGTCGCTTGTGAACTTTTTCTAAGGCATTGTACAAGTTGGTGTTCATTTCTGTTAGGTTGTTCCTGTCAGTGCCACACCATCTGATAGTGCATCACCATGCTTTACTCTAATGGAGCCACCATGGTGTAGTGGTTGGACACTCGTCTACAGACCCAGGGGTCATGGGTTCAGGTTGACAGAGACAGACTTTATTCTTTTTTTTTTTTTTCAAAAAAAGATCTGGACTCCCTTTCGGCCCAGCCTTAAATGGGTACCAGTTAAAGACCTGGGAAGTAAAGGCAGTCAGTGTGATGTTGACCACATCATCCACTAAGTGCCAACTGGTCTGTGAAATATATGTCTAGCCCTATATGCCCAACATGCCTGAAGACTTGTCATTATTCACCTTCCTAGTTCATATTGTGTTGACATTATCAGCTCTGTCCATGTTTCTTCCCACATGTATTGGTACATTACTTGCCAGCTAGTCTTGCTAGCTGGAGAGAATGAAGCACTTGGGTGTAACCAGAGGGTCTGGACAGCTCACTACACTCAGAGGAAAGGCAAGACGGACATAAAATCTATATTGTGACAGGTACCATTGTATTGGAACTCCTCATTGGCTGCTGAAGATGGGGACGGAGCGCACATGGAAATGCCCTAAGAGCTGTGATGTCAATTCTTGACTCAATTCAACTCAACTTGCCAGCTAGTCTGCTCATTAGTGCCCTTTTACACTAGCATATCTTGATGTACAGATCCAGGTGACAGTGTGAAGTGTGACTCCTGAATGCAGTTTACCCATTTAGAGTGGGCGCTACTTGTGATTTTATTTAGATATAATTACTGCATGTGCGGCAATCCCTCTCCAGAAAGTGTTTACTGCAATTATTTTAACAATTGTTGTGAGCCATATTGAGTTAAAATAAAAGCACTATGAGAGAGAATGAGTTTAAATAACATCTGGAGCACAGTGAATTTGTGTAACAATTATGAACTGAGAAAAATGTTTAATATAAGTAGAACCCAACAAAACAGAACTGCTTTCAACTGAAAGAGTTGGGAAACAAAATGGAAAAATTTAATAACAAAGGTTAAACTTGAAGATAAAAGAGAAACAAGTAAAAAAAAAAAAATTATATAATTACCTACACAAGTTGACCATACACTGCATACCTACAGTGACCATAATTTTAACTTCCTACATTTTTAGGGAGTGATTGTGGCACAGTGACTAGTACACTTGTCTGCTGGCCTGATGATCACAAGTTCAAATTCCAAATATGTTTCCAAAAATGTATTCACTCATGGATCAACCCAGCCTAATACTGCTGCTAAAAAGGTTCTTATATCATATCCAATTTCGTCCTTTCCAGGACGAAACTTTTTGTCATTTGAAGCCCTACTCTGGCTTTTGCCAGGGGCCGCAATAAAGGCAGGCCATATATATGGCCAAATGTCTGAACATGGTTTCTGGGACCTCTCCACGGTGATCCTCATCCAGATAGTGGCACTTTGTGTCATCGGGTGTTTATCGCTTGTGTGATGTCCTGGTGGGGTAGAAATTCAGTTCAGTTCAAAAAGGTTCTGGGAAGTAAAGGTAGCTCAAATAATATTAACTGCTTGGTCCATCAAGAACCAATTAGTTTATAAAAATATAAGACTAAGACAATATGTACAAATGTGAAATAAATGAATGAATAGGTAAAAAAATAAATAAATAAAGAAATAAAGAAATAAAGAACTAAATTTACCTCCAACTGTGGAAAGAGCCTGCCAACAGTCTCAAACAAAGGAAGCAGCACAAACTTAATGAACCCGATTTGAGAAGATGATTTCGACACCTTTTCCCTGTCCATGAATGGTGCCACAGGTAGTCCTTCTAGCTTTTCCAGATCACTCTAAAAATTTACAGGAGAGAAACTTAATAAACACAAATATGCACAGAGAATACACACACACATAAATAAATAATGTGTGTGTGTGTGCACACATGTGTGTATGTGTGCGCATGAGTATGCACGTGTGTGTGCATGTGTCAAGATGAGAAAAATAACATTACTTTAAAAAATTTTATAAGATATCAAAGATCATTATTTAAAAAAATTTTATAAGATATCAAAGATCTTTACATTATTATTATTAATTTTCTATCAAATTAATATTACACATATTAAGACTATAACAAAATGAACTAATCAATAGTGACCACTCTTAATGCCTAAGAATTACGCAGACATTTACCAAACATTATTTTATAAAAAGGTTATGTCAAGTTGAAAAGCTACACAGTAACTCAAACTCATTAAATTATGAAAGATATATTTTTAGCGATAACAAAGACATCAGATATTTTAGTCAGTCTTAAATAAAAAACACACTGGAAATAAACTTCGTAGATAATATCATGTTACTCTCTGCAAATGTTAAATTATTTTACTGTTATTTCTTTCTGTGCAAAATAATATAAATATTTGTTAATTTTAAATTCCGCTAATGAATATTCTCTACAGAGTGAGACATAATGGGAGTTTTAAAAACTTGCAGTGTGACTTAATCAAAATGATATGAATTCAAGGCATCAAAAAGAAATTATGAATATATTTATAATTATGTAACCAATTTCTTATGATATTACAATACAGATTTTAAAAAATGGTTGATGGACTTGTTTATTGTTAAAATAAAGAGAAAACAGAGGATGAACAACTAAAACAAGAAAAGAACATATTTTGCAATTTATCCTTATCATAGAAGAATGAATTTAAAAGATAACTGTTTGTTATAATAATGAAACTTTAGGAAATAGAAACAAGATGTCAATGATCCAGTTTACTTTTATACCAAATGACACCGTTTTTAACTCTTTGAGTCCCAAGGAACGCATCATACGTTCATAGGTTCCTACCTAGAAGCCCAATGAACGCATGATGTGCTGATTTTATTACTTTCTTCACTACCCCCTGGGTCTGTGATGCTAAACCTGGGACTCAAAGAGTTGAGACATCCAAACATAAGTATGACTGTAAAGAAACATACTATAAACAACATATTCCTACCAACACTGTGCTACCAGTGCCAGACTTGGACATTATCAAAGGCTATCCTATATAAAATTAACACCTGTGAAATGAGATGCCTGAGTAAACTGCCAATTTAACTACTCGAGACACCATGCAGCAAATTCATTGAGAAACAAAAGATCAAATGGTTTGGCCATCTAGCAGAAATGCAGCAAGAACAACTGCCAACACAGGCGCTACACATGAAAAGATCTTATGTGAAAGAAAGAGGTCACCCTAGGAGAACATGTATTGATGACATAATATAGCTTCTACAACGACATGGAATGACAACAGCCATTGTTACCAATCAATTAATGGATCTCACATTTTCCTTTCCATGATGCTTAACTCTTAAAGTCCCAGGGGGTTTAGCATCACAGGCCCAGGGGGTAGTAAAGAAAGTAATAAAATCGGCGCATCATGCGTTCATTGGGCTTCTAGGTAGGAACCTATGAACGTATGATGCGTTCCTTGGGACTCAAAGAGTTAATGACAGAAGTGGAAACTGATGATGATAATGAATAATGGAACTGAACTAAGTGATCAAAAGAGAATACTTGTTAGTGGTTATAATCAAATTTATCCACCTGAAAACAAACTCATCCTAATTATAATAGTCAAATATACAAATGTGATTAAAAACAAAATTAACTAATAAACTTTGTTTAACAAATAATATTTCATTAATTGATTCAAGACTCCTAATAATCCTTGATTACAGAACCATGTAAACAAAATACTAATAAAATGTAACTACCTGATTAAAGAACTCTTGCAATAGACAATCTAACCAAGGTTCTGCGACAGCCATCGGCCGTGCTTCATTAGAAATGTCAGCCACTTTAATCAAGATCATCATTAGCTAAAATGGGGAACAACCAAACACAAACAAATGAAATCAAAGAAACAAAATTACATAAAAGAAGTATGCAAAAATATAATGAGTAAACATGAATAAACCCTTAAAAATCTATTTACCTGTCCGGAGTGCTGTGCAGATAGTCCTCAGTAATCTCTTAACCTTTAAAATATGATTATGTTCATACTTATACTAGATTTGATTGCTCAGCTCTAGGCTGGATAGTGAAAGAAAGTCTTATTCTCCTATCCTCTACTTCATTGTGGTCTTCGTCGCTGCCCTATCTGTAGGCCTAGTGGAAATAGGGGTCTAACTAAAACCCTATATATAATATCTTGTCTTCTACTTCATCTCTGTCTCCACCCTGGTCTTATCTTTAGTAACTGCCCCCAAGTGCACCTGAGGCATTCCCTGTAAAACTTACACCAGTATTTAACAATTTGGGAGACTGACAAATGTATACACACCGATATGTGGTTTTAAGCAAGACAGTGAAATATAATTTTAAAAAAAGATTACTTTTTTAAGGGAAGTAATAGGAAAACAATATTTGAAAGGATAAAACGGCAGTGAAAGTTTACTTTTACTGATTGTCACAACAAATAAAGAAATGCACAATAACCTGGGCCACCAATGTGACTGTTAAATTAAACACTATAGTCATAATGGCAAATGAAAATGTAACCACTGTATTGGTCATGGTTTAGGAGGAGTGATCACTTCATTTATAATAAACACACAAAATACAGACAGGGTTTGTGATTTATAGTATAAATTTGCATGGTTTGAATACTACAGAAAAAGTTAGAGCACTATTCAGCCCGCTTGTGGGACGCAATTTTAATTTTTATTTTGAAGTCCCACTCTGGCTTTTGCCGGGGGCCTGAAATATAGCGGAGCCTTAAATATAGTCTAATGGCTGAACAAGGTTTCCGGGACCTCTTCAGGGGTGATTCTCATCCCCATGGTGGCACCTTGTGTCACCAGGTGCTCATCACCTGTGAGATGTTCTAATGGGGTACAACTTACCTAACTTACCTATCTAAAAATGTATGTTTGCTTTCCATATAAAAATATTTGTCAGAAACTATAAATTTTAATCTTATATTGCCCACAATTGCATAGAAAATTCAGCAATTATATATCCTAACCTGAAGAAAGTGTAGGTTACACAAAGATGGTGCTGCTATTAAAGGTTTTCAATTACAATTTTTTTAGAGGTTGAATGAGGTATAAGGGATTTTCTCTGTCAGTCTGCTATCTGCGATATGGTTCTTGAAGTCTCAGGAGTGATCAGATGTTGAGCGCTCCATTTGTTCTATAGTTGTTGGTGAGCTGTCATAGCAACCAATATTTTAGACCTAGTCCACCACTGCTAATTATGATTCGTTTCTACCATTAGAAAACAGGCTCTCCTCTGAATAACGGTCCCAAATTATCGAGGCTAAGAAAATACCTTAACAGGGCCTCAGTCATATGCAAACTGCAGACTTCCTTTCGGTGAATAGACCACATACCGAGGGAAACACTCCTCCGAATAACGGTCTCAAATCATTGAGGGTGTCAAAAGCTCCAACACTTAGTGCTAGGTTTAACTTCTCCCCTGGGTCCTAGGTTTAACTTCTCCCCTGGGTCCTAGGTTTAACTTCCCCCCTTGATCCTAGGGTTAGGGCCAGGAGTATTGCAATTACAACACAACCACCAGAATGTGACACAACAGTGGAACCTTGACACTATCGACTGATGGGTTATGGATGGAACTTACACAAACGCAACGTTACCACAGCGGCACTAGTGGCGTGTTGTTTACTGAATATTCCTGGCGGCACAGTCACAAGCACTGAGGCCCTGTTAGGGTATTTTCTTAGCCTCGATAATTTAGGACCATTATTTGGAGGAAAGCCAGAAAACCTGACCATGAACACCCTAGCTTTTTTCTGCCCTATCTTGTCATACTTAACACATTAAGGGTTTATTCACAATAATAATTTTTAAAAATTGAAATCAATAAAAACCCTGGAGAAAGAAAAAGAGACAACAGTAAAGCATCACTATCAAATACAAACAGTGCCTAGTGTAAACACATATAGGTGCCACATAACTGTTTACCTATTTCTGATAAGTACATACAAATAAATGAAATATGATACGTTTTCTATAGCATGCAAGTGCGTTTCTGTTTGATGAAGAAAATGTATCTCTAAACTTTCAAATTCTGCTGAAGTTCAGCAATAAGCGATTTCTGAGTTCATGTTTTCCTATAAAACATGTTCCTTATAGTGTATGTACACTGCAGTTTTGCCTCAGATAAAATCCATGACAGTAATGGATTTGATCACAACATACACTGAAGTTTTCACAATGTACTTGGAACACCCGGACAATTAATAGGCCAAATCACAACATATCACATTGTGAATTTATCACACAATGCATGGAACACTTAGACAACAATACAATAAATCACAACAGCAAATCAAATGTGAAACATTCACTCACAACATTGAAATCAATGCCATTCTAAAGTGTTATTCATTATAACATTAGTAACAATATTATAACACTAATTGCTTTTTTTTTTTTTTAATCATAATAATTTTGATAATGGTCCATTTTTTAATATCTTTTTGTCATATATATTTTAGGTTATCAGTATACTTTTTAAAAAATTCAAATAATCAGATAGTGTTTTCTATTTCTGGGCACATTTAAAGTGATAAGAAGCAATATTTTTATTTTCTTTTGCAATATTAATACCCTTATTGTGATGTTTTGTTTTGTCTTACCCTGCAGTTCTCTAGAGCTATTGATCTTTACCATGTTTTGCATTGCCATATGTCTACTGCAGTGGCTTATAGAACAACTACTTCTACAGATTCTAGGGAATGAAGGCTGTGGTGATGCAAATCACCAACAAGAGTTGGTGTTAATTCTTATATGTCCAGAGAAGTCAAATACCGACACTTCCAGTTGGGTGCAGTTCCCATAAATGTCACTTTCCCGACTCGCCTATTGTGACCTGCTTAGAAGATTATAATTAATACAACTGGCTGGGTTCATGCTGGAGCAAATGTTCAGGTGGTCAGGATATAAATAAATTAACTAGCAATAGCATTAAGAGAGGTTTTCCTTTGTGCTAAATGGCTTTTATAATATCGAGATGATGTCAGATGTTCTCATAAGGTTTAGCGGTAAAGGTCATGGGGTCATGGCATATCACCTGATATATATCTGTTTTTTAGGCCCAGGGGGGATGTATTCAACTTAATGCTTCATCAGTTTATGTTTCTTGATTACTCCCTTCATTTTTCTTTATACATTTTGAAAATTATTTGAATACATTTTAAACTAATTTATTTATGAGGTGAAAAACTGTTGTTGTTGTTTTGGATTTTTTTCAGGAATCCTAATGGGGTCATGACCTGTTTTTTTTAAAGAGTTCTCAGGGTGAAAGGGCTAAACAAATTCAAATCACAATAGTTTATTTCTGTGTAAGAAGTCACACGTTTGAAAACTGCAGGTGTTTCTGAAATAAACTCTTGACTTTGATATGATATTGAGCAGCATTTTCTCCTAGTTAAAGAAAACAACTAATAGCCCATGGGAACACCTAAGAAATCATGAAGTGGAATGAGATGGTATGAAAATTGCGATTTGTACCATTTTTTTAGAGCACTTCCTGGGCCAAAAAAACTTATGTTGAAATATATTATAATGCTATGAATAATCTGAACAGATATTTAAGATGAAAATAGTTATTTCCTATGAACTCCATTAGCAGTACAATCATACAGACACAACAGTTAAGAATAAGAAGATAACAACAACCAGTGGGACAAATGGGAGACAAAACAGAGAAACCAATCAAAACAAAAGGGCAGAGAACTTTAAACACTTGCATTTCTGTTTTCAAATATTAATGTTGTGAAACCTAGACCTGAGACTCTTAGGAGCCAGTTTCCAAGTTTTCTTGAGTTATTCTGTTCAAAGATATTTCCATTAAAAAAAGAACCCCACCACCCCCTTGGTAAATTAAACCATATGAGTTTTGCACATATTTTTACTGGAATTTCATGCAGTCATTCTCTATGATGATGTCACAGATTTGGTGATTTATATGGATTTTTTCAGTTTTTAAACTAGTGAATGAAACCCTTCAGTAGATTATATGCAGCAACAGATTAAATACCTTTATATAATTCTAATTTATAAAGAAAAAAATTCTCTTTATTAAAAATATTTCAGCTCCATTAGAATGTGTTTGGTGCCACCTAAACAATGGAGGTTTGCAGCAGTACATACACTATATTTTATAAAATAACATAGCGAGAACCAAATTTATTTTACATTGTGATACACTTACCAGAAGAAAAGTTATTTTCTAAACTATCTGCCAGGCAAACTGAACCTCTATATATCCAACTTTGTTAAATTTGCACTGATTTTCTGATTTAACAATCAACATCACAGCAAACCAGGAACATTCATAGTTGCTACATCTCCACCGGCAAATGTTTTAAGGTGCCAACTGTTCCTGTAGCAGACTGGTTATAAACTCGCTGATCTCTTACTCTTATCGTTGTCTGATCCAAACCTAAATGCTCTTTTACACATTCTTATACATGTTATTTCATTTAACTTCAGCATACATTCATAAATGTAAATTTGCAAGTGTGTAAGTAAACTTGCACAGTAACCTCCAAGTCATAACTTTAAAAATGAATCCCTCAACAAAACAGCATATTCTATAGAAAAAAAAAAAAAAAAAACAAAAAACTACTACTTAATTTTTCACCTACATTTGAAGGCTTGGAATTAGTTTATAGATAAATAGCACTTAAAGATTTCCCACAGATTTACAGAAATGCAAGTGTTACAAAGATAGGTGCACAGTGCTTTTCCACAATTTGCACACCTGATTAAAAAACTCTGTTAACAGGCAATCGAGCCAGGGCATAGCCACAGACAGTGGCCTGGCCTCGTTGGAAATGTCGGAAACCTTCATAAGAACCATCATCAGCTGCCAGTGGCCAGGGAGAGAAAACAGACAAGAAATAGAGCACATTGTTGTTTATGAGCTCACACAAATAAATACATAATGTTTTCTTTTAAACTCATACACCACAGCCTTCACTCATACAGAAAAAAACAACCTTTTACCATCAACAGGTGCCTTGGCGATTAGTGAGGGCAATCATGTCCCTCCACAATCTGCGATCTACAACTGCGTGTATCAGTTCATGTGCTGACACCCCTCTATGCCATGACAAAAGACTGTCAAGAATCTTCTCATGCTGTCTTCCTCTGTCTCTCTTTCCAAAGATCTTTTTAGTGGTCAAAACATGTTACAGTTTTCTTATTCTTATAACATAACCAAAATAATACCCTGCACTTTTTCTTTATCACCCTTTTCATTAAATCTTCTCTTATCTCCTTGATTTCTTTCCAGTTGTCAGATTATTTAAGTTCTTATTCTCATTATTTATTCTCATTATCACATTTAGTGTAATTACAATCTTCAGTTTACTCTTCTCTTTCACCATCATCATCATTGCCACCACCATCTTTCTCATCATGTCCAACCATTTATGTCTTAAATCACACCAAGTATCCTATCCATTTCTTGCAGCTCACTTCTATTTCCTATATTTTTTCCTTATTTGGGCATCTAATTCTTATCTCAGTGTGTATAACATGGGTACTGAGGTAGCACAATGACTAGATATTTGTCATCCAACCTAAAGGTATTGTGTTCAAATCTACATCGAGGTGGATTTTTGTTACAAGTGACTCTGACTTCTGAGACAACCAAGCCTAATGTCCAGGAAAGTAACAGTGGCCAGTTGATTCTGAATATATCAACCCCTGTGTGTTGACTGGCCTATATAAATATGAGTCTAGCACTGTATGCCTGGTGCATCACTGGCATAAAAAAGGTCCATTACTTTTTGTTAGTTAATGAAAAATTTCAACATTCTTAGCAGTTTAAAAAAAAATTATGAAACACTGGCAAGGTATCATGCTATAACAATGTACATACCACTGATTTATGCTCTTTGTCGTTGAAGTCAAAATGAGGAATAGCTAACTTGAATGAATTAAGAATCTCATTGTGTTTCGCCATGTCTGTTGCTAAGATACATCTGTGAATAAGGATTCACATTTTTGAAAGGTGAAAGTGAACATTTACATAAAAATTGTTTATAATGTTAGCAGTGCATTTGTTTTCTTGTTGATGTCTTTGAGGTACTCATAGAAGTGAAGTGATGTTTTCTGTAATATAGTCTTTAGTATAAAGTAGTCTGTTGTAAAGTATTCATAGTATTAGTCTACATTACAAGGTATATTAAATGTAGTCTTTACTGTAAAGTAGTTTTGTATTGTAATATTTCTGTTAAGTACTCTTTCTAAGTTTTTTCATAGTAAAGTTACATCTTTCATATCAGGGATTATTGATTATAAGTAACATTTTACTGTAAACTTCAAGTAACTGGACAACACTAAGTTTAAGTTAGCTTTACAAATTCAAAATTACATTAAACAGAGGATACTGCTGGGATGAGCCATCAACATCATCCGATGACAAGAAACAAACAAAATCTAAAGATGAAAATGATTATTTTACATAATTAACATTAAAAACTAATTTACAACAAAAAAAAAAAAAAAAAATGTTAATTACAAAAATGAACATGGTTACTTTGATAAAATTTTAATCTTCACAAACCTAAACAGTAAGTTGTTCAAATTACTAATTGCTTAAAGCAGCTAACAGTAATAAATGATTCTTTAATTTAGTTGCTCAATCAGTCTATTATCACAAATTATTATTTGTGGTAACATCTTTGAGCTGCCATTTGTTGTAGTTGCTGTAAGCAGCTTTCTTACATAACTAATTCAGTGCTTAGGCCACCAGATACACAGACACACAGTTAGATAGGCAGGCAGGCAGACAGATAGATAATATAATAATACATACAGGTAGGTTAGACAGGTAGATGGAGGGATGGATGAACAGATTCACAGACAGAGGAATGGATATATAGGTAGGTAGGAAAATAGATAGATAGGCAGACATCTAGAAGTAGGTAGACAGGTAGGTTTACAGAACAATAGCTTACCTAATCATGCCATCCCTAAACCTTTTGAACTGCTCCCTGCTAAAGTCTTTTGTTATATTGCATTTGTCCTTCTTCATGATGTCAAATGCGACCGCGCAGTGATGATTTTCCAGCGGTGAGATGTCGTTATAGCGTAGGGCCAGTTCTGTCTTTGCATTGATCTGATAGTAAAAGCACATTTATACATATGATGCTTGAACTTTAAACAGCAGATTTCTATTTTTCCTTGAGTAATCTTCTTAAACTCCTTGGCCTCAGGAACACTACAAATAGGCCATAACTCCATTAGAATTCCAGAAAAAAAAATTGGTTTAAAAAAAAAAAAAATAATAATTTCAAACAGGACACTAATAGATTTGTTACAAATGTATGTATCAATGTAGTAAATTAAAAAAACATATGACGATATATAACAGCAGTAATCAATAAACACAAATAGGGTGAAGCATTAAATGGAATAACACCCCCCCCCCCCCCCATCCCTTCTGTGGCCTTAAAAAAACACACATGTATCTGGTGACCCATGCCCTACCCCATGATGTATCACTGAGGCTTATGGGAAACTGACCTCAGCTTGGCTTCAAGATAAGCCATTTTGTTCAAAGGAACCCCCCACTCAACTCTCAATGCAATTGTAAGTGTTAAAGATTTAATATCTTGACATCCTAAATGTTTGCACTGGCACACAAAAACAGGTTGCTACAGACAAGTATCCAAATAACCGTGGCATAGAGGCTAGATGCTCGCCTGTGGATCAGGAGATCGTGGGTTCACTCCCTAGAGAAGCCTGCCTTTTTTTCAAAAATGACCATGTCTACTGGGTCGATCCAACCTTGAGTGGGTACCATGTGCAGTCCTGGGAAGTAAAGGCAGCTGGCATGATGCTGATCACATTACCCATCTTGTGCCATTGGTCTATAAAATTTAGGTCTAGCCCTATATACCCAATAAACAATGACCAAACAACCTCATCTGCTTCTCTTTAATGAAACTGCATGACTGGTCTCAGCCCTAGTCTTCTAAGTTCTGCATTTTGTAATTTTCCCCTCCTTGTTACTCAGGCAGCTCTTCTGAGAAATCTCTAATGTATACTTTTGCATTCATTAATTGTAGTAAGTGTTCATACTTGACACTGTTAACATAGAGTTAACCAAAGTAGTTATTAGATTTGCCTGGATAGACAAAGGTATCCTTCTATGTGTCAAAGTGGTATTAGGTGCTCCAGTAACTTATTTGATTTTGCACACTGTAGAAACATCAGATGTTAAAGAACATCAGAAACTCTAGTAGCAAAAATAATTCAAATACTGATGTTAGAATTCAGTGTCTGAACATTTGTCATTACCTGGTATGCGTTGTTGTAGCCGGGGTGGTCTAGGTCATGGCAAATGGCTGAAGTTATCAAGGTGAAAATTTCCAAAGGGTCAAGTTTGGACTGGAGATCAATTAGCCATGTCAGCCCGTACATCTGTAAGATAATATTGAAAGTACAAAAGCATGTAACAGGTTGCAAAAGCATCAGTAGTATGGACAATGAGAATGGATCAAGCAAACTTTTTTACTGAAGTCTACCTATGAATGAATGCAAGCTGAAGACACAATGTTAGTTACAGGTCATCAAAGAACAACAAATGAAGTGGTTTGGACACCTAACAAGAATGCCCTGGTACTATCCCCCACAGCGAGCCACACTAAAACGTTACAATGGGTATAGAGCAAGTGGAAGACCTCGGAAAATATGGAGTGATGGCATTAAGAACAGCCTTACAGAAATGAACATCAGTCTTAATAGTGCTCTTGACAGAGCTCATCAACGAACATTACATCTCCCCCCGACACTTCGATGAGGTACAAGGTGGAATAGAAGAAGAAGAAGAAGAATTCTTCTCTATCTTCTTAGAATTCACAGGTTGTAAACTCCAGGAGAAGCTTTCCATGGCAAGGAGTCGTCTTCTCCTTCTTCTTCTCCACTTCCTCTTTTACCGCTTCAGCTGTCAACGGAGATGTAAGGTTTTGCTTCTTGATTTTCTGGTTGACCATAGACACAACATTCTGTTGTAGAGTTTCTCTGATGATATCTTTCAATTTTTCTTAGTCTTACTTGTACTTTACGTCCTTCTCCTCTTTTCATGTTTACCCTGTATGGTATGGCATCATAGGGCATAATCTCTAAGCATGCAAAACTATTACATTTTGGGTCTTTGTATCATGTTTACCCTATATGGTATGGCATCATAGGGCATAATCTCTAAGCATGCAAAACTATTACATTTTGGGTCTTTGTATCATGTTTACCCTATATGGTATGGCATCATAGGGCATAATCTCTAAGCATGCAAAACTATTACATTTTGGGTCTTTGTATCATGTTTACCCTATATGGTATGGCATCATAGGGCATAATCTCTAAGCATGCAAAACTATTACATTTTGGGTCTTTGTATCATGTTTACCCTATATGGTATGGCATCATAGGGCATCATCACTAAGTGTGTAAAAATATCGCATTTTGGGTCTTTGTTTAGAATTTTGAATATTTTTCTTCGCCGACTTGCTCTCTTATGACCTAATTCCTAATTTTATCTCTTTTCATCACTCCTGCAGCCTTAGAAATATAACTGTCAGTACACCTCAACTTACTACCATCCACACTTATGACCACACACACACACACAAACAAAAATAGTAAATAAAGGAAAATAACTTTACTGGTAGGTTCAAAAACGTCCCCACATTGATGCAACAGAGTACATATTATGTAATTTTTACATTATATACAGCCATGTTATCAGAAGACGGAAAATGGAGCATGTTGTGACCACTGGAAAGATCTGTGGAAGGAGGGATAGAGGAAAACAATGAGAGAAGATTCTCAGTCTTGTTGCATGGCATGGAGGTGTGTCAGCACACGAACTGATACATGCTGCAGGAGATCGCAGATTGTGGAGAGGCATGATCATCCACGCCAGTCAGCAAGGCACCTGATGATGAGGATGATACATTTTGTATTCGTATTCCGCTGAATAGTTGGTTCCACTATTCCTATTCTGCCAAATAGTGAAAATCTCTATTCGGCCCTAATATATATATATATATATATATATATATATATATATATATATATATATATATATATATATATATATATATATATATATATATATATATATATATATATAATATATATATATATATATATATATATATATATATATATATATATATATATATATATATATATATATATATATATATATATATATATATATATAGTACCTTATGCAATAAGCGGTCAACAATGAGAGTGACTTCCCTTCCCATTAATGCTTCGATCTGGTGCAGCGCTTGCACTATGTTGCACGGGTTTCAGGTGCAACGAGTCGTATTTTACTCCTTGTTGTCAGTGGCTGGCGATATTGCGTCTTCTATGCTGTGAGCTTTGAACTGTCTCAAAACACATACAACTGGGCCTAACCCTAACACCCCCTATTTCACAGCCTCAGCTTATGTCCCACGATTGTACGCAGTCACTATTATATGCTGCAAACAGTCGTGCAACCTAGGATGCACCCTGCGACATAGTGCAAGTGCTACACCAGATCGAGACATCAATGGGAAGAAAAGTCACTCTCATTGTGGGCCACTCAACGTGATTAGAAATATATATATATATATATATATATATATATATATATATATATATATATATATATATATATATATATATATATATATATATATATAGACACACACACACACACGCACGCACACGCTCTCCCCTTCACTCTGTCTCTCTCTCTCTCATATTGAATATTTGTCTTTTATGAGCAATTTTTATGACCCTTTAAATAAAAAAAGTGTTAAAACATAAAATGTAAATTCCACCTATGACTACTTTAACTTACAACCTGTTAGTGAGAACAGAACCCGGTTGTAAGTCGAGAAGACTCTGTACAAGCGAAAGAAAGATGTATACCACACAGCATGGACGATCAGATAAAAGAATCATTTAGAAACTCCCTGGGTGGGCTCCAGGGCCTCATTTTAGGAAAAAAAAGAACTGAAAACCCCACCCCTAACAAGCACGTCATGTGCTGGCACCTCTTGATCTTTTCAGGCAGATGTCTTCAAGGAAACTCCCTAGGTGGGCTCCAGGGCCTCATTTCAGGTAAAAAAGAATTGAACTCCGCACCCCTAACAAGCACGTCATGTGCTGGCACCTCTTGATCTTTTCAAGCAGATGTCTTCAAGGCCATTTGGGAACAAGCAACGGAATCGGTAGAGAAAGAAGATTATTATGGCCTGGAGAGAATGAGGCCCCTGGGTGAAACCAGAGAGTCTGGCCGGCTCACTACACTTAGAGGAAAGGCAAGACAGACATTTAACCAGACTGTAACCAGTACCATCAGTATCTGAACTCTGCGCTGGCTGCTGAAGATGAGGAGGGAGCATACATGGGAATGCCCCGAGAGCTTTGATACCAATTCTGGACTTAACTTAACGTTTCAGACAATAGTATTACACTGTGTTAAGAGGAGGCAAGGAACCAGCAGCCTGCTTTTAAATAAGTAAGATCTGTAAAATGAATGTGCATACAAAACTGAAGTTCTGGACAAATTTCAGAAGTAGACGAACAACCAGAACTTTCCCCCTGAGTTAACAGCCAAAAAACACTGAGCAGAATCAACATCACAAAAGACTGCACTCGTTCATCAAGCTTGCAGCTCACAAAGAAAAGACTGTTGGCACAGTTCCCTCATTCCAAATGACAGCATTCTCAGTTGTGCTGTAGGAAGGTACAAGGATCACATCTATATTCCTAGACTAACTAAGGACAGGACTTCTCCTCTCCACAGCACAAAGACTGGGCAGTACTGTAGAGACACTGTGCTGCTAATGCATTATGATCTCTTCCTCTGATTTGTTTACTTCAAAGAAGAGGTAACACCATTATGTCTGGAACACATCACTAGCTGCCATATAAAAGAGCTGTTCTCTGTTACAGCTTCCTTCCTAGAACAAGCTGCCTTACAAGGCTGAAGTCCTGGTCTGCATTGCCACAAGATCACGTATTCAGGTAGCATCCTTTGTCCTAGGTTAAGGCTGGTATCCTCCTCAATGCCCTCGACACAAAATGGGATGTAAAGTTTGATATATGCCATCAAACATTCAACAATAACAGAGAACAGGTATTACTAACTAGTGTTTAACGGCTGCTCAGTCACATCTGCCCATGACATTTGAATCATAAAGGAAACAAATGCACACCAAAACAGCAGAAGGTTCTGCCAGTTTTTAACATAGAATGAAACAAGAATTATACACTCCAGCAAACAGTCTGTATTAAACAATAAAACGTTTGCTGTTTTTTTTTTTTTTTAAAGCCTTTGACTGGCCAGAACAACTTTTTGTGTCTCTCCAACACAGGCTGCCTACTATTTTAAGGTTCAGCCATGTCAGAAGGAAGAAAAGAATATAACTGAACTACGAACTTTGACATGTTCTAGAAGTTTCTGCTGCTACTTACCATTTGGGCCACCATAAAGCAGTGTTTGAAATTATGAAATGGAACCACATTATAGTTTCTGTAGACTTCATACAGCCATTCATGAAGGACATTCATCTGTAATGAATATAGATAAGAACATTAATCTTTAATACAGAACAGAACACTCATATGTAACAAATAAGTAATAAAACATTCAACCACTGCAACATATATTAAAAAGAAGATTCTGTATCTTTAATAAATACAGAAAAGAACATGCATGTGCAATAGATATAGAAAAGAACATTCATTTGTAACAAATACAGAGAAAAGAACATTATTTATAACAAATGTGAAAAGAACACTTATACTCTTACCTTTTTTGAATGCTTGGGAGAATGTATTTACTGCACTATAAACTGCCCATGTATTTAATAAAACAGGGAGGAGAAACTCTGTGACCTCAATGCTCTACAAACATGCCTGAACCTGAGGACTTATTGATCCAACTTCATTCTGGGAATCAAAAAGGATCATCTGACAGTAGTCACAATGTTTTGTTGGGGATTGTGGACAGTCACTGAAGAGGTTAAGAATACGGCACAGTGGGCAAGGATGTTAAGCTGAACTGGTATGTGGAAGATCCACTCTGTGCATAGACATTTTTGTCTTTTTGTCATTCATGTCTTTGGTGAATAAATCTAAGTGTTCTCTTTACTAAAATAAATTAATAATGTTCTTCTAAATGTTCTCCTCCTCCTCCACATTCACTGGCTGTAAACTCCAGAAAAATTTATGGTTGATTATACACCTTCAGATTTTAGCCATGTTTGAGGACATGAGTTTCCATTCACATCTGATTTATACATCTGGTTTGTTTGTGTGCAGACTGTTGGTTCCTCGCCACTCAGGCAAATGCACTCTAACTTTGAAGGACTTTCCTCTCTCTCTTTTCACTCCCCCCCCACCCCCCCCCCCTTTTTTTTTCTGGGCCACCCCAGTAAGTTACCTTGTACAACATGCTTGTTGTTTGGGAGGAAGTGGATCAATGTTTTTCTCTCCCCACAAAAATGGGGCCCTGGACCCCATACTGGGTGACAGATAATGCAGGTAGGATATGAACAAAAATATCCAATTCACAATGATTATAATTTGTTCACATCCAGATGCAGATTTGTTATAAAATGACTTACATCAAGATTGAGCTTAGAGATGAGGTTGAGATCGATGTACATCTGTCGTAGAAGAATCAACATTTCTGAATCATCCCACTGCCAGTTGTCAAATGTCTGCTTCTTCAGTTCTCTCCTAACATCTTCACTTACGTGGACTTTCCTGCACAACATAAATTAGGGTTGGGATTAGTAGAGCTCTAGCTTCCGTTGCATGTCTTGTTTGATCTCCTGGTTTAGCATGATGTATCTGACTATGACAGGGCTTCAAATGAAAACCTCACAAGTGGGACAGAAATCATAACAACCATGCCATTGTCTTGTAACCTGTCAGGCAAAGCAATGGACAGTCTGTTACAGAAGTCACACCATTTTGAATTATTTTTAACAGTAGAATGGTGACCACATCTTCCATCGACTGCCGATTAGTCCACATAACACAGGTCTAGCTCTATATGCCCAATACGAAAAAGAAGAAGAAGAATATATAAACTATTCATAAAAGAAAACCAAATTATCCAATGGAGCATTCCTGTTAAAAAAAAAAAAAAAGGCATAGTTATCCGATGATGCATTTTTTGTTTGTTGGCGGAAAACTCTAAGCCAAAATCTACCAAGGAACCAGAAGAAAAAAACTGTCAAATTGCTGGTTGAAACCTAAGGTATTCGTGTGTGCACTTTGAACAATTTCACTCATTAAATTACAAAGATTTTGAATGTCAAAATTATTACAAAATGATGTTCCTTTCAGTAGCTACGCTTTTCATTTTCTGAGTAGTAAAGTGCCATTGGATAACTGTGATTCTTTCTTTATTTTGTCTTCTTCTGTTTGAACAGTATATAAACTAGAGCTGTACCGAACATTCGCTTCGGGGTCAAATAGTAGACTTAATAAATATTCGGTATTTGGCCGAATACTTGAGGTCCGGTCGAGTACGAATAGTGGTTACCTTACATCCGCTTCTACATACACTGCCTTAACGCTGACAACATGGAACAATTGGTTTTGTTGAAAGCTAATGCAGCTTTCATGCATTAACTAAGCTGTCAGTGACAATTTACAAGTTAAGTTACTTGTTATAATACTTAGAATACTTTCATTCCTAGTTATTAGTTACCACAGACTGATTGAAGGATGCAAAAAATAAAATGTTTTTAAATGTTTATTATTCTGTGCGAATACTAACTAGACAGGGAAACTCTAGCCACATACAAGCCGATAATGTGAAAATCAAACCAATGGAAACATATAAGTAATTAGGTGCGAACTTCAACTGGTCCAACATGCTGAGAGAAGAAATACAATCTAGAATACAATCTGGGAAAAAAAGTAAATTATGCCCTTCAACAACTGCTAAACTCAAAGTGTCTGTCTTGCAACACCAAGATCTAATATATAAAACATTAATAAGACCGGCCGTTTTATTTGGCTCTGAAACTTGGAGCACAGCTAAAAGAGATGAAGCCTTATTGATCACTGGCATTATGAGAGCTAAACGACTTTTATGGTTGGGGCATATTGAAAGAATGTCAGATGACAGAAGTAAAAACTGTATTCACAAGGAAGAGGAATGGTCGTAGACCATGAAGCAAACCAAGAAGACGATGGAGAGATAATATCCAGAGAGACCTGAAAACACTTGATGTCACCAACTTGAAACAGAAGACCAACCAGAGTGATGAATGGAGGCGAATGATATCTGCAACAATGAACCTCAAGCACTCAGAATGCTGAAAAAGAAGAAGACTATATTGAGAAGTAAAAGTTCAGCATACATTTGAAATTATTAATGATTTTTTAAAATTTATATTATACACTATACACTATTTGAATTCGTTTTCAACCGAATAGTTGGTCCTTTTATTCGTATTCAGCCAAATAGTGATACTCACCTATTTGGTACAGCTCTAATATAAACTAAATTAACCAATAGAGACATTGCACCAGCCAACCTACAGTATAATTTATAATGTGTTCTAGGGTATATAAACATTTGGCCTATATGTTTTATTTCTGGTTTAGATATGCTGCCTTCATCCCTGCCCTACTCAGTATCAGCTCTGCTGTTTTTAGATAAAACAGGGTCAGTTCTCAGAGCTGGAAACTCTGGAAAGATAAGATATGGTCGGGTATGTTGCAGGCAGATAAATTATTCATGGCAGTGATGTTAAAAAGTTGTTAGGTGCTTGCATGATTAACTCTTTTGAACTCAACAATTTCCTGGCAGATGTCATTGTGGGTTCATGACCACGATGAAAATTATATAAGTGTGTTTATTAGTCACATTTTCAACTTCATGGAAAATGGGTCATCAAAATGCTAGTGAAAACCACACAGAATACACACTTCTCCTCTGTGGGTTCTGGGGTCCCACTCTAGGAGGAAAAAGAATAGATACACTATCATCTAATATGCATGACATATAAGGTGATTGATTATGGGAGTTTGCTTTGAATTCAGAGTGAATATGCTTTAAGGGTGAGGAACCAACAGTCTGCATTAAAAAAAAAAATCAGATCTGTAAAACTGATGTGCTTGCAAAACCTTAGTTCTGGAACAAGACCAAAGTCAAGAAATGGATGAACAGCCAGAACTTTCTGAGGGAGTTTATAGGGTGAACCCTAAGAAGAAGAAGAAGAAGCACATCACTGGCCTATGTGAAAAGTCAAATATTATGCAACAGTCCTGACAAAACCTAAAAGCTCGCACATGCATAAGGTAACTTAACAGTGTTGCCAGTACTGATGAGGCAGCACTCACCGGGTTACATGTGAAAACATCTGGCGTCATAAATTGTATAGACCAGTTGGTACTCAACGGGTGATACGGTCAATATCATACTGGCCACCTTTACCTGCCAGGACATTTCCTGGTACCAATTTTAGGCTGATTTTGGAGCTCAGGTCAGGTATACAAATCAGCATTGAATGTAGAATTGAACCCCATATATTCAGGCATGAAAATAAGCATCTATCCGATTTAACTTCTTCATTTGTCTTACCGCTTATGCTGCAGAGCACTGCAGAGGGAAATTAGAGGTAGTTTCCTGTGTTTTTGTTTTGTTTTGCTAGGGGATATCTTGTAATAATGTCATGTTCCATTATTTGTAGTGCCTGTTTCACTCTCTCCGCCCACTTCTCTCTTCATCACCCTCTCGATCAGTAACCTGCCGATATCATGTAGTACGCTCTAGCTAGAGGCTGATTTGATTCCACTCTGACCAGATGATCAAACAAACTGATTCTATGATGTTCTATGAAATAATTTACTGGCACTATGGCTTTCATCTTCTTAGTTCTTCATTAGTGATTCTGCCTCTTATTATTTTTCCCTGCACATTATTTTATACATCTCATCTCACATGATGTAATTCTGAGTTTATGTTTTCTCTAGGACTACTGTCCATGTCTGGCATTGACAGCACAACAGTTTTATGAACAGAACATTCATCAGCCTATTTAATGCATACTTCTGTTAAACAGGCTGATAAATGTGCTATTCGTACTTACCAACCTCTATCCAATATTACTATTGCCTATTTTTAACAGATATCTCATAAATGTATCTTTCACATATAAACAAATTCAATTACAAGAATTTCTGAAATGTCATCCAAACCCAATAAATAAATAGGTTAAATGTAAGCATTTGTTAAAAAAACTGTTCAATGTACTTACGTGAATTTCATAAATCTTTCGTAAACTCGCTTATGGTGGCTTTCCATTTTTCTAGGCGATGACTTCTTATGCCAGAATGGCTGAGACATGCCGATGGATAAATCCTTGGACAAACCAAGCCAACTGAGATGGGATACGTTCTTCAGAGATTTATGTGGAAGAGAGAAGGATAAAAAATATATGCTTCAGGTGACACATGAAATGGACTTTGGCAGATCTAGGACACCCATAAAAAAAACTGTGAACATCCATAAACAATGCTTCAAGATGGCACACTGGGGTTTGAGTTTAAAGTTAAAACATTTTACATGAGGTGCTTACAACAGTCTTTTACAGAAAATAGATTTTAAATCCATCTTTCTCAGAGAGATTTTATTTTAACCTATCGATTGTTAATTTTTTGTGAAGGATTATCTTCATCTGTTTGTCAAATTTGGTAAAACTGCTGCAACCTCTCTTTATCATGTTTCTACTCCATCATTCCATTTTTTCTGTTGTATTTGTTCATCTTTCTTTTTTGGTCAACTTATTCTTTTCCTTCATATTCACCAGCTGTAAACTCCGGCAGAAAGTTCTGGTTCTCCCACCTCTAGACGTGTTTCAGAACCTGTGGGTTGCATCCAAATCTGTTTTACAGATCTCCCTTATTTGTTTGTATGCAGACTGTGGGTTCCTTGCCTCTCTGGGAGATGCACTCTGACTTCGAAAAAAGCCCTCAGTTAGTCAAAACTGTTCAACAATTTATGATGTCACTGCCTGATACTCAAGTGCCTCATTCTAATAATGTTAGCAATTTAGCCAGTAGAATCGACTGTGAAAACAGATATATTCTGTGGAAAACTACCCACAATAAGACTTACAATAACAGCAACAGTTTTGATGGAAACTAACTCACAAAGAGAACTGATTGCCCACATCGGAAGGAGACAATCTACATTCTTTGGTCATGTGATGAGAAGGAGAAAACAGGAGTACATAGTGACAGTAGGAAAGTTGGAGGGAAGGGGAGGCAGAGGTTGATCGAGAGAAAAAATGCTGGACAGTTTGACATCATGGCATGGAGGATCATCTGTGTCAGAGTTGAATGAATGTAGACGAGACAAAAAGGTTGTGGATGACATGACTACCAATGCCATATGGAATTGACTCTAAGACGAAAATAACAGTAAATGTTTCATTAACTTCACAGACGGTGATTACAAAAATAGGCAATATTTGAACAAATTAAAAATACACCCTGTACAATACAGAGAGGGAGTCGCCGTAGCGTAGCGGTAAGATGCTCACGTGCAGATCATGGGTTTACTCCCTAGCGAAGCCGGACTTGAAAAAAAAAAATGTCCTTGACTCTCAGGTCGACCAGCCTTGAGTGGGTACCAGGTGCAGTCTGGGGAAGTAAAGACGGCCAGCGTGATGCTGACCACATCTTTTGCCCACTGGTCTATACAAATATAGGTCTAGCCCTATTTGCACTATATGCCTAAAGGCGTTGAAAAGGGTCCTTTATTTTACTTACACTACAGAGAGGTTAAAAATCACTAACAGCTACGAATAAACTAACAGGAGAAAGGTAAATATCATCAGCATTTACTTCTTACTTTTCTATTTCTCTTTTCCCTATTATTTCTTCTAATTTCCTTCCTTTTTTTTTCTCCACCTTCTTCCTCTTCCTCATCTTGCTCTTTCTCCTCTGTCCAATATTATTACTGTATTATAATCTTCTTCTTCTTTTGTCCTATGTTTATGCCATAAAGAGATGTAGTTTCCTGCCTTTTGCTAGTTGCTTAGATTGTGCTAATGTCATACTGTGTTTCTGTAATGTCTCGACTCATCTCTTTCTTGGTCAACCTCTTGTCTTGTAGTCTACTCTTCTCATGTAGAACACTCTAACTGTTGGCTGATTTTGTTCCATTCTGTCCAGATGGCCAAATTATTTCCTTTTTTATGTTCTATAAAATCATTTACCGGTACTGTGACTAACACTGTTCTCAATTCTTCATTGATGAGGCTAGCATAACCAATCAACAGGTCCTTGAAAGTCAACACACCACCAATGGAATATTAATTAGTCTATAGAAATATGTTGGCGTATGTGGCTTAGGCATTGCGAACTGGCTTCATAATGCAGTGGTACGAGTTCGATCCCAGCTGCAGGCCTTGCGCCTTGTGTTGATTTCAACAGTGGTATCGAGAAGCCGACTGTCCAGAAAGAAATGGCAAACTAATGAATGTAAATTTGCCTAGCAAAACCACAACAGCCAAAAAATGCTGGGGTTGGTTCTGCAACGTCCTGTAAAGGATATGCAACTAACTAACTAACTACAGAAATATGAGGTTAGCATCTTTAGTCAACAGGTCCTTGAAAGTGATAAAAAAAGGGAAACTGGAGAAGTTAAGGCATCTGGAGAAGGGGAAATAATGTTCTGGTTTTTCCTGCCACATTCTTTTTTTATTACATCTTATCTCACATATTGTAATTTTGTGTTTGTTTCTCTACAACTATTAGTGGCTGGCAATGATAGCACAAAACTGATATGCACTGGACATTTAACAGCTGCTTTTTCTTCATTATAAAAAAAACAAACTGACACACACCAAAAAAAAAATAAAAAATAAATATAGAACAAGCGGCTTACACAAATCTTTAACACTCACCTCTAATTTGTCCTTTAATCTATCCACTTTGGCTTGCAGCTCATGAAATGATTGTGGCATATCCCCATCATCAACATAAACTGTCTTTTCTAAAGCCGACAGTCTGAAAGAATTCAAAGATTATGCCAATAATAGAAGTGACTACAGCCAAGCTTGTACTTGTTTCCCTAAAAATAAAAAATTAAATACCTATTCTCCCCCCCTCCCCCAAAGCTCTAGAAATGATTCCCAAAGTGAGGCCTGTGCCCCACAGGAGAACAATTTGGTTGCTGAAGGGGAACATCTCATCCTTTCACAGTGACATCTGGAGTAAGACAGGGATGTGTCTTATCACCACTGCTGTTTATCACCTACATCGACAGTATATGCAAGAATTCCAAGCCCATGAATGAAGATTTTAGTAAGATCAACGAATTACTCTTTGCAGATGACCAGGCCTTGATAGCGGATACAGCCATGAAATTGCAACAACATCTAACATCCATGAATGAAGAATGTAAAACAAATAATATGAGAATCAACACTGAAAAGACAGAAGTAATGTCAATAGGAAAAAAGAAGACAGATCTAAACATAGCAATAGAATACAAAGGCATTAAACAGGCATCTGAGTTTAAATATCTGGGAACTACATTTACCGAAGATGGGAAATTGAATAAAGAAATTGACATTTGATGTAGTAAAGCAAACCAAGTATTGGGACAGCTAGCCCCCCTCTTACAGCATAAGACAATCCCAATCAGCACAAAGAGACATCTTATTCAAAGCATATTTATGACTGTCAAGACAAAATCTCTGACAGCTGTGTTAACAACGCATTATGAGCAGGACACATGGACAAGATTTAACGCCATCCTGACATGGGATGCAATTTTGTTGTTGTTTTAAAGCCCTATCCTGGCTTTGGTCTGGGGCCCTAATATTACCTAACGGTGGAACAGTGTTTCTGGGACCTGTCCCCAGGTGATCCTCATCTGAATGGTGGCACTTTGTGTCACCCAGTGTTTATCACTTGCTGTGATGTCCTGGTGGGGTTGAACGTCAGTCAACAATAAACATGGACAAGAAATTTTCATTTACTGCTGAACATGAGATACAGGGGCCAATGGTTCTACAGGAAATTCACTGGGTAGCTGGAAATGCTCTAGAATGTAAGACAGGTCAGCAATGTTCTAAACACACCACCAATGGAATAATAATTTGTCTATAGAAATATGTCGGCATCAGTGGCCTAGGTGTTGCGAATGGGCTTCATAATGCCGTGGTACGGATTCAATGTCAGTTGTGGGCCTTGCGCCTTGTGTTGGTTTCAACAGTGGTATTGAGAAGCCGACAGTCCAGAAAGCAATGACAAACTACTGAATGTAAATAGAAAACTACAACAGTCAAAAAATGCTGGGGTTGGTTCTGCAATGTCCTGTAAAGGATAGGCAACTAACTAACTACAGAAATATGAGGCTAGTATTATCAATCAACAGGTCCTTGAAATTGATGGAAAAGGGAGACCTGGAGAACTTAAGGACACCTGGAGAAGGGGAAATAATGTAAACTGACAAGCCATACTAAGGGCAGAAACTCTGCAGAGCATCAGGGCACAGATGGAGATAACCTGTGAATGCTTTATGTGTTAACAACCTCCCTCGAAGTCAGAGTACATCTGCAGGTGAGGCTGGGAACGGCAAAGAAATAAGCCAGTAAAACCGATGTATAGGAAAATCTCAGGACCAGGTAAAAGTCACAATTCTGAATGGACGAACTACTGGGACCTTCCACTGGAATTCACAGCCAGTGAACGAGAAGAAAAAGAGTCAACAATTGACATGGAGATGACATAGACTGATATATATTATACAAAATACATTTCAGTGCTTGAAAAAGTCATTTGTTTACTGTAAAGTTACTCCTATACAGTGAAGAGTGAAGAATTAAGAACAAATTCTGAGCAGTCACTAGTATTACCAGTTATAAGACAGAGAAGATGTTGCTATACTGGACACATTCTGAGAAGAGACAAACTGAAATGGAAAATAAATGTCAGTCCCATGCAACATATAAAGACACAACAAGACAATAGATAAAGAAATGAACTCCTATAGCAGATACCAACTTTTAGATGTGTCATTCTAGGCTTTCATATATTCTTAGTCACAACACATTACGTGAGGTGGCCAGTTTTATTGTTGTCACACTGGCACATTTATTTTTACCTTTTGAAAGTTGTATGAATCAAATGAAAGGAGTGAGGTCAGAAGGGCTGAATGTTGGACGATCCTGTATGCTTAATTCTTAACCAACTAGAAATAAAGTTAGTTGTTTCATTCATTTGTTTTCATTGTTCCCCTTCCCAAACAATTCCATACCAAATTCTGGAAAATGATATTCACTTTTATAAGGTCAGGTCAACTCCAGAGTCATATAAGCTGGGATAAAAATCTTACCCCGTTTGGGGACTGAACCGGAAAGAGTGACTTGACGGCAAGATCATTAAACTCTCGGTCACCTCTGCTCATGTATCCATCATTATCATCATCATCAATTTCTACTTTTGCTGTTAAGCATTGTGGAGAGGAAGAAAAGTTTGCAGTGATACACTGCTTGATGGCTAGCAATGGCTATTGACATTCCATGTCCATGTAGAAAGTGTTTAATGTCATCCAACCATTTTCTCTTAGGTTGACCACTTGCTTTCACATCCCATCTTTTCAGTGTGTTCACTGTGCTGGTTGTTGTTATGGCTGCATTTTAACAAGATGATCTTGATCTGTTTCTCAATAAATCTGGTGCATGGTGTTGTTCCCAAAGCCTGTCCGACAGTATCATTTCTCCCTTTGTCTTACCTGGGAGCCCTTTGAGCATAGGGGCTCAATGTTAACATGTGTTTGTAAAGTGACTTGTCATAAATAAAAATATATTCAACGCCTAAATTCTACGTAGCAAAAAACCAAAATTACATTTCCCTTTCTGTCTCTCTATGTGAGTATCTCAAGTACTACATGGTTTCAGGACAAAGATTTCCAATTGTCCAAAAGTATTTTTCTGTACAGTACAGGGAGAGTCTCACAGTTTAAGTACCACATGGTTCTTAAAACAAACTGTGAGAGTCTTTCAGTTGTACTGGTAAAAGAAAAGGGAGAGTACTTTTGGAAAACCCACTTCCACAGTTTAAACCACATGGTCTTAAAACTGCACTACAGGGAGAGTCTCACAGTGTTCCACAGAAAACACCCTAAGGGAGGTTTAAGTACTGGTTCTTAAAACATACACTACAGTCTCACAGTTTTTTCAAAAAACATACAAACAGGGAGAGTATACAGTTTAAAACATGGTTCTTAAAACTTTGTAGCACAGTTTAAGTGACATGGCAGCATACACTGAGTATCACAGTTTAAGTACCACATGGTTCTTAAAACATACACTACAGGGAGAGTATCACAGTTTAAGTACCACATGGTTCTTAAAACATACACTACAGGGAGAGTCTCACAGTTTAAGTACCACATGGTTTTAAAACATACACTACAGGGAGAGTCTCACAGTTTAAGTACCACATGGTTCTTAAAACATTATACAGGGAGAAAATCACAGTGTGTAGTAAAACAAACTCATACTGTGTAATGAAATATATACTTTTAGTTTTTCCACTAAATGTCAAACTACAGTTTCACACGGAAACCAAAGGTACAGGAAAAGTGTTTTTCAAAAAAATAATAAAATGTTTGTAGCACAATGAGGCAGCATAATATACTGAAGCAAACAAATTGCTTCTTATAATAAAAAGTGTGTAGTAATTGTATACTTCTAATGAAATGGTTTGTGTCATAAATATGTGTTGAATATACCATTTACAAAATGAGTTATCATAATGGACCCAGAACTGGTTTGTCCAGAAGCTTATAAAGCTGTTAGATGGCCCTGCCTCCTTTTCTTCCCTTAAAATCTGCTTACAAATCTTCTGGGACTGAAAAACTTTATTAGCTAACCACTTTCATTCTATAAAACAAAACAAAAAAATCTGGTCGCTTACCTTTGTTCTATTTCACCAAGATCAAATGAAGATAGAGCAGGTGGAAGCAGACCGTTTTTACCTGAGAATAAACGAGGCAAATTACCTGGTTAAACCACACCACACTGGTGGCTGTTCTGTTTATTCCAGAAATGTGTATGTGTGTGTGATCAACTATCATCCTCATCATCATAATCACCACCTTTTTGTGCCACTTACATGTGCAGGGTCTTCTCAACAAATGACCGAGTTCCATTCTGACTAACAGGTTGTAAGTCAAACAGACATAAGTGGAATTTTCATTTCTCAACACTATTTTCATTCAAACAGCATAAAACAAAAATTCAATCTATATACATATAAGTCTACATAAGGTGAAAAAACAAACATCATATGTACTCTAGTGCATCAGTTCCATGAACTTGTTGACACCATCACCATCAATGTATTTTTCATCATACAGCATTTTTCTTTATTAATTTTTTGTGGTCTTTAATGGGAATGATTGCATTTCGCATAGGCCGTACGTCAAGGAGAAGGTGTATTGTTATTCCAGAAATATGTGTGTATGACAAACTGCCGTTATCATCTTCCTCATCATCATTGTACTGCTGTGCAATTTACGTGCATGAGAAGCTGTAATTATCATCATCAAAAACAACATCATCAACATCATCTCACTGTGCAATTTACATGTATATTTTATTCAAGACATGTATGTGTTTATGAAAAATTTTCATCATCATCCTCCCAATCATCAACGTCAGTATTCTACTGGGCCATTTATCATCATCATCATTATCATCACCAAGTGCCTTGCTGACTGATGTGAGCGATCATTCCTTTCCTGACGATCTACACGCATGACTGTCAAGTCATAGTTTCCATCAGGAATGTGTACTGACATTGATGTGCCCTACACGGTCATGACAAAATTGATGCTGTCCAGAAATATATATATAGTTTTCCATGTATGTCAATTGTATAACTATGTGTGAGGTCAACATAGATGTGTGTTTATTCCAGAAATATGTGTGTGTATAAGTATAATAGTTTCCTATGTCAATTGTATAACTATGTGTGAGGTCAACATAGATGTG